GGGGAGGTGGATGGGAGCATGGAGGAAACAGGTGATGGGAATGAAGGCAGGCACTTGCCGTGATGAGCACTGGATGTGGTACGGAACTGCTGAATCACTATATTGTACAGCTGAATCTAATATTACACTGTATGTTAACTACACTGGAATTAAAACACTTAATAAAAAATAAAATAATGCTTATGTATTTGGAAGTTGCTAAGAAAGTAAACCTTAAAGCTTATCACAAGAAAAAGAATTCTGTAACTGTGTGGTGATGATAATATTAACTAGTCTGGCTCAGAACCCAGTTGTCTTCACAGAACAGCAGAAGGAAATACCAGGCTCTAGATAGAGAACTGAAGCCGACAGGGTTGTCTTTATGGATGTTCTGAGACTCAGAGACATTTTGAGGAAGTTAACATCTGTTTTTTTCTCAATTTAATTTTATTTGGATTTAAAATGTATAAATTGTTGAAAATATTTTTCATTTAAGTTACATTTAAATATTCTAAATTTAATTCAGTTTCTCCTGTTTTATCTTATGTACAGGCCTCATAAGTGGGTGAACTAAATTCTTCAGGAAGTACTAATTACTGATGGACATCATCAGTAATGGACATCATGTCTAGCTTAGGCTTGAAATCCCAACCTACACAGTCATCTGTAAATACATGGGAACAACAGGTATAATCTTCTACGATGGGGAAGGAACAATTTATTTTTCACTTAACTGCCCCCTTTTTAACTTAAAAATGCATGTTAAGAAAACATAAGAAATAATCTCTATCATTTGGCTCCCCCCTCCCCTTTTTTTTTTATTTATTTTTTTCCCCCTCCCCCCTTTTTTTTAAACAGTTCTTCCTTGACTTTGTATTTTCCAGGGCAGCACAGTTTTCTCTTATTTTCTAGGATTCTTTTCCTTCTGTTCTGTATTCCTCAGTTAGCTGGTAGCGCATGTATCACTGGGCAAATTCAAATTCTGTTTGAAACCATCTGTGGCATAAACCAAAAGCAAACTATATAGATCTATGCAGGGGAAAAATGGGGTAAGAATGAATGGAGGGGAAAAGCCTCCTCTGCTTAAGAAATAAAAATCAGGGGCGCCTGAGTGGCTCAGTGGGTTAAGCCTCTGACTCTTGGTTTCGGCTCAGGTCCTGATGATCTCATGGTTGTGGGATCGAGCCCCGCGTTGGGCTGAATGGCATCTGCTTGAGATTCTCTCTCTCCCTCCTCAACTGCCCCTCGCCTGCTCCTGCATGCGCCTGCTCTGTCTCTCTCAAATACAGAAAATCTTTATTTAAGAAAAAAAAAAAAGCAGTGAGAAGGTTTAATCTCTTTTTCTTTCATCACCATCTCAACCAAGCTTTCTTTTCCTTAACTCCTGCTATTGTACTTGACCAAGTTATAGCCGGCTGAATATTAGAATATTTTCCCCACAAAACTGAGGAGACAAACAGAAACATTGGCAATCTGACACTATTAATTTTCCTGTGACCTGCTGAGACCCTGGCTTGTGAGTAGGGATATGACAGTATATAATTCTTTCTCTTTGTCGACCAAATAAAGCAAAACAAACTACTTTAGCAGAGAAGACGATCTTTGAAGTTTGCTGAAACCAGCAAAACCCAGCGAGTCTTCACTGTGAAAAGTGTTCTCACCTTCCGAAAGCATTTAAAAGAGCAACTATTTCCTGTCGAGTGAGTTGGAAGCCTTTAGATGGGCTGTTCTCTGGAAGCTTTTGGATTTCTTTTTCCGAGAATAATATCTTCAGAGCAGTTCCTAGACCCTGAGTCTAGAGAAAATAGTGAAACACATAAAAATTAATGTAATAACAATTACTATAAAGGTTGAAAGGAATACACAGTCACTGTGATGAGAGTCAAGAAATTCGTATGAACTGAACTTTTCACCAAAACGTCAAACTGCAAAATACAGTTTCTACTTCCTGATATATTATGCATGATAAATTTATCTTAACTGTTAAGGAACCTGAATAGTTTAACATTTGTTGGACATAAATTACTAAAATGCCCTTTCTTAACCTAGAAAATATCACATGAGGATTACAATGTTCAATATGTAACCTTGAAAGCATTTTTGACAGCCCCTAGCAATTAAAAACTTAGAAATTATTAGTGATAATTACACTTAAAAATTTATCAATTATTAGAACCAGAGAAAAAGAAACATCTGATTTCAGTGTAGTCTCCATAAAATAATTCTGTCTCCTGATTTTCTGACTTACATCTTTGGAAAAAATATAAGATAAAACATCAAACAATCCTTTTTACACTGAATATATATAGAGAGAAATGGGCCTCCTTGGCAGAACTTTCCTTTTTTGTGACCATTTGAAATTCAAATTCAGTGATGGAAATTTGATAATTAATTCTTTTTATATCATATTTTTTTATATGGGTCTACAAAATACTCACACACTATTTATAATCACCAACTTCAGAAATGAATCTCAGATTGTACCAATAGAAACAGATACAATAAAACCAAAATCATTAACACAGAATAGGAAAAACATTCTTACACATGTAACACAGATTTAACATATTCATCTTTTTCATCAATAAAGCAGAAAAACCATACTTCAGATCTTCTGCTTCAATGAACAATGAGGGTATAAAAACTTGCAACTTCCCAGTAGGAATATTTAAGGTTAGTAATAGTTTTAAAACAGAAGACAAAACACAAACCTGCAATTTCCCCCATAATCTGCATTTGTCACATCCAACACAGTCCATTATACGGGAGATATTCTTGAAATGTAAGCGAAATTCCTCCTAACATGCAGAAATATTTTTATTCTCATTAGAGTCTTAAAAATTAAACTGCACTTGTATGAATCATACAAGAAATAAAAGTTCTGAAGCTTATTAATGAATGACTTGTGTTTTTCAACAGTGAAGAAGAAAAATAATTGGATTTGTACGGCATAACATGGCACCTAAAACAACTAGCCATGGAAATTCATAAAATCCATTCCACATATTAACTCAACAAACTTTTTATTGAGGTGCTACTCTATGCAAAGCACCAACATAGGCACTATGGGAAAAACAAAAGTAATGATTCATGGTTTTTACTTTTAAGGAACTTAACTGCTGCCTCCATTTGATCTCCGCATACAGCCAGTGGTAAATCTATCTATACTATGTTTGGTTTATTTTTCATGTATTGCTTGCGTGAGTCCAAATCAGAAAAGAAAAGTGGTCTTAGACCACTGATCGGTTTTCACCTTTTTCCTTACCACACACTGTAATGGGTGTTCCCTGAGCACCGATGATGACAGGGCTGTATGGAGGGTGTGCTCTCACAGTCCCCTGCATTTCCCAGTCAGCCTCTCCAGGGATGTTTGCTAACTGGATCCTTGGACTGTGCTGCAATTGCTTCCTACACAGGGAGGATTCTTCAGCCTGTAAGCAACTGGGCATGGTTTCTAGGACTCGAAGGCCAGTCTCCTCTGAGACTAACAGTAGTTAATAGAGTTTCCTCATCTTTTTCATGTGGTAAACATAGAGAATAAATTTCATTTTACTGTACTGAGGTAAGCATTTTATTGCATGAAGCTAGAGGCAAGCAGCCTGAAAACTCTGGCCACCAGAAGCCCTGCCCGGCTGCTTTCCAAAGGTTCCAAAGAAACAGTACCCTGGCTAAAAGACAAAATAAAGAACACGAAAGTCCTTTGCTCCATTCTCATGTAATTCATGTTCTTGGGAGGAGATGGAAAAACGGACTTAAGTTCTCCTTTATACACCTTTGAAAAACAGCAAACACAATTTCCATTAATTCATAGACGACAGCTAGTTCTTTTCTCACTCCTATCTTCTTCCTCCACAAAAAGAACCAGAGTTGTCCAAAAGTATAATACTTGTATAAATACTTCAAAAATAGGAAGCATTATAAAAATAAATTAACGTCATGGTAAATACCACAATAGCAATATACCCCTAAAATAATCATAAAACAAAACAACCTTCCAAAACTAAAATGCAGTTGTGACTAAGTTACTTCACTTCAGAAGCACCAAGAGACTCTTACCAATGGAGAATCACTCAGTGCTCATTTATCAAAGAGCATCTAAAACATCTCAGGGCCAAATGTGTTTCAGAATTCCAAATTTTAGAAATATAGTACATAATTTATTATGAAACACCCCACCAGAGTGTGTGGCAACACCTAGTAATCACATACATTAATGGTTCTGTAGCAAAATGTAAGAATATTCAAACAAAGCAGAATTTTTAAAAAGCACTATACTCTTACATCAGACAGGTCAGGTTTTGCTAACAAATTAATTTGCACCAAACATAAGAAAAATGTTTCAGCTTTTGGAGCTTTCTGGATTTCAGAATTGCATATAAAAGACGTGGAGCTGCACTAGAAGACTGCTTGCCAGTCAATTTCAAATACTTTTATGAACATTTTAAGGGTACAACGTATTCCTTAATATGCCGTAAGCAAATGAAAACAAAGAGCTGCCAACATGAAGTTTGAAAATGTTCCTAAAATACATTCTCCTCTGATATCACAGGGTAACAGGTAATTTTTGCCTTTTATGTTAGTCCATAAAGACAAAAGCATAATAGTTCCAGAAATTTGAACATCCCATAAAATATTCCATAAAATAAACTTTAGAAAAATATAGTATTTGTTGCCTTCAAAGTGGCAAAGTCATGATTTTTAAAATCAAAACAATACACATTGTGATTTTAAAGCAAGAAAACTTTCTCTCAAAAAAGGTGTTAACCTTTTAAAAGACCTTTACAAAGGTGCCATATTTATCGGTCAGTTAACAACAGAGGCTTCACTAGGAGTTGGCCAAACTAGAAAGGAGAAAGGAATTGAAAAGTCTGGAGAAGGGGCTTTCTGTGCCGTTTATAGCAAAATCCAGTCAGACCAACTTCAACAAGATGGAGGACTGGGCAAGGAGAGTTTATATGGACGGGATTAAAACACAGCCAGTCAACTGCTCCCGATCCTATCCCCCAATCAAGAACTTTTTACCTTTAATGACTTGGCCCCCTTTTTGTCACCTGCAAACATGGACTTCTCATCAAAGTGCATGGGAAAGGACCTGATGAAATGACAACATTACAAGTTACAGACAAAAAATTCATGTACTGTGCAGAACTCTGGCAGAATTTTCTATCCCCACAAATATTTACAATTTGTAATTTACTTGTGTGTAAAGTTTAATAACACAGGAAGGTGGCAAATAGTTCACACGTAAACTACTCCAAGAGTAAAGTCACATAAAAATGGCTTTTTAATTTATAAGACTGTAATGTTTTAAAGAAATTACATGATAAAAATCATCTAAAAATTGAACTTAAAAGCAATTTATGTGAAAAATGTGCAACACCATTAAAAAGATGTTTTAAATTTTAATGCATAATTTGAACACTTCTTAATCCAACTTTGGTTCATGCTCATTTTAACAACCAGTAAACTCAAATTTTATAGACCAGCATTTTTTTAAGAGGTATATTCTAGAACGTAAAGCTAATGTTCCCTTAGGTATCTACTTTCACGTGAACACACAGCACCATCTGAATTTAAAAAGCAACTGGAAGAATACAAAACTGGTTAAAAAAAAAAAAGGGGGGGGGGGGCCTGGGTGGCTCAGTTGGTTAAGCGACTGCCTTCGGCTCAGGTCATGATCCTGGAGTCCCGGGATCAAGTCCCACATCGGGCTCCCTGCTCAGCAGGGAGTCTGCTTCTCCCTCTGACCCTCCTCCCTCTCATGCTCTCTGTCTCTCATTCTCTCTCTCGCAAATAAATTTAAAAAATCTTAAAAAAAAAAAAAGGAAAAAAATACTAAAATCGCATTAAACTTTGGGGCATGTGGGTGGCGCGGTCAGTTAAGTGTCCAACTCTTGGTTTCCGTTCAGGTCATGATCGTGGTCGTGGGATCAAGTCCCAGGTTGGGCTCCGCAATCTGCCCAGAGTATGCTTAAGACTCATTCACTCCCTCTCTCCCGTCCCTTCCCCCCACTTGCTGTCTCTCTCTAAAATAAATAAATATTTAAAATGAAATAAAATAGCATTAAACTTTGATACTACATAAAATTCAAAGTTCTGTTTGAAAACAGGGCCTATTCTCAAGTGTGACTAGGCTATTCTACTGTTCTACTGACCATGTTCCTTCTCAGTTCTAATTCTCCCTCTTCCTAACTAACTTTTAGGAGTCAGTTTCTGTTGTCTTTCAAGTACTATCTCATGCATATTCAGAGTGCAGAATTTCAGATCACTGATACTCAATTCTTACTTTGTATCTTGAAAGATATTCAGTAGAAGGGTTTTTGTGTTAGCATCTTCTTCTCCATTTCCAGTGTAAAGATCAACAATTGAGCGCTCAAAATATGGGGCCACCTTTGATAAAGCTCGAAGCTCAATTAAGTATAAAAAGTACAGATTCTTAAGCCTTCTTGGACCTTCTCCCTTAGTTTCCACAGGGTCAAAGCGGCGTTTAAATTCTTTCAGATTAGGTCCCCAGCTAGGTTTACCCCAGGTTTCTAAAGAGAAAGAGAAATACATAATACAGCTTTAAGAAATAGGATTTTTTTCTCTAGAGAATATATATTCCCCCCCAACAATATTTACACTAATAGAAGGCAAGATTTCTACATAAAAATGTGGTTACCTTCCAAAAGATAATTTGCACATAGATGTAAATTGATACTAGCATGAAGTCCAGATATAAGCTTATAGAAGACTCTCTTTTCCAGACACAAACCTATTCAGAAAAATATTGAAAAAGAAACCACATCCATTTAGATAACGGAAATACTGACTCAAGAAGATTCAGTACACAGGCTTATTTTTAAAGGTAAGTTTCAAGGACATTAAAAATAAGGAATAATATTAAATGATTAGATCAAAATTCTCTCACTATAAGATAAGATTCTGACTTCAGAATGGAGTTATGAATATGATAACTTAATGCAGAATGAGACAGCAAATGTTGGGCTCTGGAGATCTAAGCACTAAGGATGTACTTGGCAAGTTCCCACGCTACCCAGAAGGCAACAGCACAGATTTTTCATGGGTTAGACTAAACCAAAGCAAATATAATTCAAAGTCACTGCTTTGGCTTAACAATAGCTGTTTCTCCTTTTCCCTTCCCTAGAGATATCCTTTCTTTGAACCTACTTGATTGTGGAGGAAGAAGAGACTGCATTCCATTTCTCTTCTTCCTCAGATTCTTTAGTGTGTCTTACTAATCCTCTGCCCTAGAATTCTCCAGTTCTACTTAACTGTATGGTCCACCTGTAAGGAGCCCAAAGCTGGAAAACAGTCAACCAGACATTTCAATCAATAAACAATGTATGTTGACTATTTACTATGTAAGCAGAATCATATCAGATGGAGTACAGGAATATGATGGAAAATTATTTCATGTAGTCTTAAGGGTTTTGCTCAAATGGAGGTCAAGATAATTCCACTATCCTATCCTACCCCTGCCTCAATTTTAAAAGATTTTCTCTTATTATAAGAGTAATATGCACTGTAAATGTACTTAATGCCACTGTTTAAGATGGTTAAGATGGTAAATTTTATGTTATATATATTTTACAATAAAAAAGAAATTCTAGAGAAGGTTCTTTATAATTTTTTAAATAAAGAAAAATGCGAAAACCTAAGTTTTAAGAATCCACTAAATGCAAAGCAATTCGCTTTTTCCTTCCCTTACCATCCAATAGCATTTTTTGGTTTTTGTCATGTTTTGTTTTTTGTTTTTTAATTACTCCTGGGGAAAATGGGCTTCAATAGTGGGAAGGAATAAGAAATAACCTCATTTATAAGCTGAGGGATTTTTAAAATGTGGCTTACTTTGCATTTTCCCCAAGATCTTTTAGATCTTCAATTTACTCTATGTTCTACCCTCTATGGCTCTGAAGCAAGTAGCTTCTCATAGGAAAAAACAATTCTTTTGAGATCTCATTCTCTAATTCAGAATTCTTGCCAGAATATTCCCATTGTACAAATGGGAACCAAAAAGCAGAAATTAAGTTCTTTTTTGCAGCTTCTACTAAAAGTATATGAGCAATTTTGAATGTTCATGATAGCAAGGTATACAAACATCATGAACAAGTTTGATAAAATATTACTTCTCTTCTAGTAAAACTTTTAATCAAATCAGTTATCAAATGAAACGATCAGATCTGAAGTTCACTTTCTTTTCCTTCTAACCTACCTCTCTAAAGACCAGAGAAGGGAAAACAGACAAAGCAAAGCTTGTGAAAATTCAGATGCCTAAAAATAAGAGCATAAACGAGGAGGCCATTCTCATTTGCAAAGCTCTCAAAGCTCCGTATTTGAAATGGGGATGGATGATAAGTGAGGAGCGAGGAGTAGACATGTACTTCCATAAACTGATAATTAGGTAACTTAAAGCAAAATGGTAAAAATAAAAGATGTGCCAATTGAGTGTACTAACAAGACACAACACAGTCGGCAGGAAAGTGCTGGACAGCTTTTCCCTGCATGACGCAGTCTCCAACCACTGAGGTCCCCGTGAAAATGTTAAGTAACACAGTAAGTAACAAAGTAAGGCTACATAAAATAATTTTCCATCATATTCCTGCACTCCATCTGATGTGATTCTGCTCACATAGTAAATAGTCAACGTACAATGTTTATTGGTTGAAATTCCTGGATGACTGTTAAGTAACTTCTGCAAAAGCTGATTTACAAAGGCAAAATTTACCAGCTTCTATTTCTTTTTTTTCCTGAATAATATTATTTTTATTATGTTAGTCACCATACATCATTAGTTTTTGATGTAATGTTCCATGATCCACTGTTTGCATATAACACACTCAGTGCTCATTGCAACACGTGCCCTCCTTAATACCCATCACCCGGCTACCCCATCCCCCAACCCCCTCCCCTATGAAACCCTCAGATTGTTTCCTGGAGTCTGTAGTCTCTCATGGTTCATCTCCCCCTCTGTTTCCCCCCCCTTCAGTTTTCCCTCCCTTCCCCTAATGTCCTCTGTGCTATTCCTTATGTTCTACATATGAGTGAAACCGTATGATAATTGTCTTTCTCTGCTTATTTCACTTAGCATAATCCCCTCCAGTTTCATCCATGCCAATGCAAATGGTGGGTATTCATCCTTTCTGATGGCTAATATTCCACTGTATATATGGACCACATCTTATTTATCCATTCATCTGTTGAAGGGCCTCTTGGCTCCTTCCACAGTTTGGCCATTGTGGACATTGTTGCTATGAACACTGGGGTGCATGTGCCCCTTCTTTTCACTCTATCTGTATCTTTGGGGTAAATACCCAGTAGTGCAATTGTTGGGTTGTAGGGTAGCTCTATGTTTAACGTCTTGAGGAACCTCCATACTGTTTTCCAGAGTGGCTGTACCAACTTGCATTCTCACCAACAGTGTAAGAAGGTTCCCCTTTCTCCACAACCTCTCCAACATTTGTTGTTTCTTGCCTTGTCCATTTTTGCCATTCTAACTGGTGTAAGGTGATATCTGTGTGGTTTTGACTTGAATTTCCCTGATGGCTGATGATGTTGAACATTTTTTCATGTGTCTGTTAGCCATTTGTACGTCGTCTTTGGAGAAGTGTCTGTTCATGTCTTCTGCCCATTTTCTGACTGGATTATTTGTTTTTTTGGGTGTTCTTTATACTGCTTCTATTTCTAACAATACAGAGCAAATTCAACTATCCAATTTAGAGAGTGGGTCTCTTTCTTTTGGATTTAATTTCATTCAAATTCACATTCATCAAGTGATTTATAAGACACTGACAGTAATTTTTTCTCTCACAAAAGGGCTAGATTTACAATAACAGGATTATGTGACATTTGGACACTATTTAGTGATTTTCAAAGGCATTTTTACAGGCATCATCTACACTCACAGTGTAGGTAAGATGGTTGGCTATTGCCCGTCTCATGGCCCAGATGAGGAAATTGAATCTCAGAAAAGTTGAGTCAGTTGCCTATAAAAATAGGAGTGTTCTCTGAAACCATTATCAATATTCAGGGGCTTACATTGGTAGGATACTACAAAAGTGGCTAATACAAAATACCCTAGAATTCAATATTGCCCATACATTTCACTCCCATCCTCCACTAGCAATATTCAGAGTCTCTCACCACCTCTTTTAACCTCAGTACTACTTTCCACAGTTTGTATCTTTACAATACAGCTAATGAAACAAAGTTAAGAATCGTCTTCCACATAGGCCATTTATCAATATCATTCCTAGTATAGTGGCACATCAATAACGTTCACCTTAATAATGGCCAATATATGTACACACTTCATTAAAAACAAAGAGAAATCATGTTCACAAGATAACATCACCAATTAGCAGACATAAAATAGAATTAAGTACTTAGTTTTACTCTGTAGAGTTCCTATAAGGTTATGATCCCCTGTATCATTCAACTTGCTTATCTTTCATTAATACATTTTAACTTTTGCTTTCATAAATGAATGGCAATTTGGTAAATTTTTTAAAAGCATCATATATCCAGTTTTTAAACAAAATTGTGAAAATCCTAGAATGTTTTAGCTTTCCATTAATAGCATTTGTATTTTCAACACTAGAAAATATAAGAATGCAAAGTATCTCCTGGGATCTATATTGCTTTATCTTTTAATTAGACAAGTTTAGGCTATATTAACATGTGTAAACACTGTTTAAAATCTTCTGAAATCAAATTTACCTTCCCTCAATTTCATATATATATAAAAAGTACTTCCTTCCAAAAAGAAGGTCTCTACTTACAAAGTAGTTTGCATAATGGTTACTAGAAAGCAGTATGGATGAGTGGTATATACAGAATGAAAGTAACACTGAGAAGCTAGTTATGAAAACCCGAGGCCAGTATCTGCCCTGTATATTTCCCTAATGCTGATTATTCTTGGCTGAGCAATAGCCTCAAAATTTTCAAACCATTGTATCCTAAAATACAATAACTTAAAATATGTCATTTTCTTTCAAACACTGTCACAATTAGTTGTCTAGGTAATGAATCCTGAACTTACAAAAATATATTAAATAAATCCATACATTTCTTACAAGAAACCAATAAATTTAAAATGCAGACATGTAAGTTTACCTTCCAGCCACGTGTAGAATGATTCTCCTTTAAAAAAACACACACACACACACACAGATTTGGGTTAAAATATTTTAAACAGTCATTTACAAATTAGAATAAATTAAGTATATAAAATATTTCCTATGACAGACTAAGGAATATCTCTAGAAATGGCCACTGCTTCATGTGAAGTAGAAAAATTGGCATATGGTTCTAGAAAATAAAGCCCTAAAGTAATTTAAGCAACTTTTGGACAATTTTCTTATAAATGATATTTAACTAAGCAAAAATTTTAAGAAAATATTTCAGTCAAAATATTATGTAAATCTTATTCATTAGAAGGTGAAAGAGCTTAAAAATTTTAAATTTGCTTTTGATAACCATAGAACTCCTTAAAAATTCTAGAAAAAACAGTGAATTATAATACAAAAATCAAATCAGTAATTATTCCATTTTTTCCTGAGCAGTAAAGCTATGTATATTACCTCAATTATCTAAGACTACTAAATTTCAAGGGGTAACTTTAAAATCCCTTAATTTTCGAGATAATTTTTCAGAAAAGTCAATGACTATTATACAGAGGGACCTGACTTACCTAAGTACTAATGCTAAAAGATCTAGTTCTAGATCAGTACTGTTCTGAGTGGAACAAAAATGGCAGTCAATACAGATCAAAATAGTTAAAGATAAGTAACTCACAAAATGCATTACTTTATTTAAAAAAAGCAAAGCATAAGAAAAACCCAACACATAGATGAGCTGAGCAAGGAGTCTAGGGGATAAATTAGATGGTGAGGAATTGCTTTGTTTCCTGAGAGTCTCCACATTTTGTAAAATTACACAAACATCTTCCCACAGATTAATTCATTCAACATACTCTTCCTAAGGGCCATTCATCATGAGCTCGCTTGTTTACTCGAGAAACCCCAAATGCTATCAGGGAAAGTTGAGCTCCCAAGTCCTCAATAATCTGGCCTCTCATCTTTCTAACTTAAACCACTCCTACATAAAGTCTTCCCTACTGCTAAGAGGGTCTCCCCAAACATGCCTGATCCTTCCCTTTCCAACTCCATGGTCCCTGCCATTTTCTCCTAATCGCACACAGGATCCAATTCTACTAGACTACATCTGTATTACTCAAAACTCATCTCAAATGCCACTTCCAGATCCCTCCAGTGAGACAGGCTCTGTCCCACCTCTGAAGAGCTCTACCACCTATTGCTCGTACTATGTATGTGCAGCACCTCTTATCATTATGTACAGTGCTTATCATTCCTGCGATATACTGTCAGCTCCTGGAGCGAAGGCGTCATGTTTTACACATATTTCTATCTTGCACAATGCCCATCACTGTGTCCCTGAACACAGATAAGTAAACATCCATTTGAAATCATTATTTTGCCTGTTTTGGGGCAATTTATTATGACTGATATTCATCTGGTAACCTGGAATAACCAACTGTTGATAAATCACTATTCACCAGATTAAGTATTACAATAATTGAGATTATAAATTACAAAGTCAGTAAGAAAATAAAGTCACAAGACAAATTATCTGGTAAAACTATCTTAACTTCACTCCATTTCTTCAGAACATATTTTAGTAGATTATAATAACCAGATAATTGGAAAGTTGGAATGTAATCCTGGTTTCTATACTAAACATTTAAGTAAAAGGGAATTTATAGTTTTTTTAAACATAGGGTAAATTTACAATATAAAACTCTTATTTTTTGTCACCATTCATTGGTAGCTATTTCTGAAAAAATAGGATAAACATTTTCTTTTGAATTAGACAGGAAAAATCAAATTTTGATCATTAAAAACATTTCCTCTATACCTGAGGCATACCCAAACACAAGAATTTTAACTCACCATCATCTTCTCCTGAAAAAGAAAACAGTAAACAGGATTTTAGAAACTGTCCTCCACAGTTCAGATCCTAATTTTATTTACTTTAATGAGATTAAAACACTTACTGTGTGTTAAACTATTAATTACACTATGGACCTTGGTCAGGGTGTAGTCACCCTGCAAGTGAGACTTCTTAATAAGAATACAGGCCCAAAGTACAAGATCTTCATATGTTTTATGCAGTAAAAAATATCAGAAAGCATCTAAAAATACTCCTAAAGATCACTAGTTTCAATAATGAGCCAATGGACACAGGCACTCCTTTCATCATTATATACACAACCCTCTCTTCTCTTCCAAGTTGCCGCTCCTCGGCCTCTACGCACCTTAAGAAAAGTATTTCTCAAACCGTGGTCAGTGAAACCCTCACTGGGGGTGCCACAGAGCTGCCCAGACAGGGGGAAGCAGCCAGAGGTTGGGCTCTCGGGAGCACAGCAGCTCGGCCTTTATCGGCTCTGTATGTGGACTTCTCATACCGGGTTTCATTTTTGGGAAGAAAGGTGCTGTTGTTCAAAAGCTGTTGGAAAGCCAGCCGGAGAAGCCTCGCTGTGTGGCTCAGCAAGAGCGTGCGGGCGGCCGAGCCCAGACTGCTGAGGAGCTGCGAGCTGACACCAGCAGTTGCCGTGGGCATGGCGCACAGAGCGCAGCAGCCCGAGCCGCTTGACTACTGCACAGATTTCTCCCCCAGCAACCGGGACCCCTGCTCTCCCCTCACCTGGTGCTCCACCTCCCTTCTTTCTTAGTCCTGTTTTCTGCCCCCTCTTTCTGCCTCTGTCTTTTCCTACGTGGCACTCTCCTTCCTCTCATCTTTCCAGCGGTCTCACGTCTCTAATTTGTCACAACATGGACGTGAGGTATTTCTTAGGATGTGATGGTTTCGTTAAATGAACTATGTTTTCTGCTTTAAAAGGAAGTGATCATATTATTCAACCATAAAAAAGAAGGAAATTCTGCCACTGGCCACCACAAGGATGGAGTCCGAGGACCTCCTGCTGAGGGAAGTCAGTCAGAGAAGGACAGATACCGTATGAGCTCTCTTGCATGTGGAATCTAAAAACAAAACAAAACCCTCCAAGCTCATAGATCCAGAGAACAGATGGGTGGTTGCCAGAGACAGGGGGTGGGGAGTGGGCAAAACACGTAAGTGGTGTCAAAAGGTAGCAGCTTATAAGTCCTGGGACTGTCAGGTACAGCATGTCAACTACAATTAATAACACTGTATTTGAAAGTTGGTAAGAGAGTAGATCTTAAAAGTTCTCATCACAAGAATAAAAATTCTGTAATTATGGTCACAGATGTTAACTAGACTCACTGTGATCATTCTGCAATATATACAAATATCTAAACATTGTATTAAACACCTGAAACTAATACAATGTTGTATGTCAATTATACATCTATTTAAAAAAATATTTTAACTCCAATCCTAAAAAAAAAAAAAAAAAAAAAGTGATCATAGAAAAGATCTGAAAGAATACCTACCAAACTCTGTACTATGGAAGAAAGGTGTGGAGGCAGGGTGGGTATGGGGGAAGGGTAAGGGGGAGCTTTCTCTTATTACTTTATGTAACTTTTGTGTTGTTTCCATTGTGTGTGTGTGTGTGGTTTTCATTTTTATAACAAGTTATAAGGGTAAAAATAGCAAAAGAGACCATAAGAAACGATGCACACCTTTTTCATGATCCAATTCCCTTTTCCAGCAGTATCAGAATGAATTTGGGAAAGAACATGTGCCGCACCGTAAGACAGTGAGCATCTAAAAGCAGTCCCCTCGGTCAACCTTTCTGTGTCTCTTTGGCTCTCAGAAATGCCTTGAAGATACAAGTCTAGACCAGGAAATTCAAGTTCTTAAATCAACCCTGGTCTAAAGAAAACATCAGAATGGCAAGTCAATTACAGGGCTGCTCCCAGGGTTTGGCTCCTTGCTGACAACAGACTGAGGATGTGCCCAGTAAGTTTTATGTTGATTAACCTCCAAAAATGATGTCCTGTAGAAATATAATGCCAGCCACATATGTAATTCCAAATTTTTTCTAATAAAAATTTCTAGTGAAGTTTTTTCTAGTATCCGTGTTTTAAAAGTGAGAAGGATACATGCGCTCCAATGCAATAATTGTGTGAGGCCAGAGCTAAAGGTGTCCTATCAAACAGTAAAGTTCTGTTTAATGACAAAATATTTTACACTGCTTCAGTTCTTAAATTTAAACAAACAGCCAGATGTAAAAGTTGGTTCTGCACCAGCCGTATTTCATGTGCTCAACAGCCCGGTGTGGCGAGCGGCGACCTAGTCGGCCCGCGCAGGTTTCCCGTGGTGTTGCAGGCATCCTAAGTGTCTTCAACAGCTTTGCATCCTTAGCACTCAAACGTGCTGCGTGGACCAGCCAGCACGCTGGGCATCATCTGGGGGCTCGTTAGAATCCTGGGCTTCACCCAAGACCCACAGAATCAAAACCTGTATTTCAACAAGGCTCCGAGGTAGTTTGTATGCACACTCAACTCTGAGAAGCACGTTGGGAGCCACTGGTTCTCAAACGTGCCTGCGTACTGGAATCATCTGGACAGTTAAAAAAAATAACACTTGGGTCTAAGCCCACAGATCCTGACTTAATTAGTATGGGATAGGGCCTGGGCATCCAGATTTTTAAGAGTTCCCCAGGAAACCTCTGATATCTATGGATTACTCATATATTTTGATTTATTTCCCATAAAACTCCTGTTTTATTTAGGGCCTGGTACATATCAGGCACTCAATAAATGCCAGTAATTATGTGAAACATGCAGAAAACTTGACGCTGAACTATGAACTAAGCTTATACTTTTGATCATTCAAATTAAAGAAAATATAGTTGAAAATTTACTCAGATTAAGTTTAGTTACAGAGGCATTTTGTAAATAATCTCTAAAAGCATGAAAATGTATGAAAAACCCACCTCGACTAGGTGCCAGAGGATTTAAAGGACGATAAACAGATCGAGGCCTGAAAAAGTGCAAAATTCAAACATAAAATGGTTTGACTTCTTTTACATCTTTTTTTTCCCAACAGATCCCTACTCCCCCTTTCTCCATCCTCCCTCTAGCCGTTCCTCCTCCTTCCCCTACCCCCTCCAGTTACTTGAAACAGTTTTCTTCGTAGATGCTGTTCCACACTCTCCATGCGGAGGACCCTTTATAGCCAGTGTAACGCTCCGGGTTCAGCAACAGGTCTACATACTGAGCAGCTGGAGATCGCTCATCTGAACAAGAAACAATTCATTAAAACCACCCACATGTCACCAGTTGTCTGAAATGTAATATTGTAACACAAACTTAACTACCAAAAGGTCAGAGAAAGGCTACGCTTTTCAAGTAATCTCCAGCTTAAACGGTAGAGAGGTTAGCACACTTGTGACTGTACTTGACCCGGGATAACTCACACTTGTGAGAGGAAAAAACAACTCCTCCCTTTCCTCTGGATACTCCGTGCTTTCTTAAGTAACAGAACACCCCTCCCCTTCTTAGAGGCATTCATCATTCCTAAGTTTTAACCACCCAGGATCGAAAAGACCTAAACAGAATCATAACCTGTTCTACTATTTGATGATTTCTTCCCTACGCATACACCTACCTAAACACATGCTTAGAGACATTTTTTTTTTTTTTTAGCGTATATTGTACTAAAAAGAGATTTTCCTGCTATTCTCTACTTTGGACTTATGAAATAAATGGCTCAATAACTTCGTGATTCAAATTTGATCACAGTTACACAATGCTCTAGTTTGTAAACAAATACACATTACGGTTTATTTTTATCGCTGTTCATACAGAAGTGCTTTTCCCCTCTCAAGCCCATATACAGCAGGCACAACTTCAGGAACTTGTTAAGACATATAAATTAAATAACCATTTTCTTTTTTAAAGATTTTATTTGAGAGAGAGAGAGAGAGAAAGAGAGCATAAGCAGGGAGGGGCGAAGAGGGAGATGGAGAAAGAATCTGAAGCAGACTCCCCGCCAAGCACGGGACCCCATGTGGGGCTTGATCCCACAACCCTGAGATCACGACCTGAGCCGGAACCAAGAGTCGGACGCTTAACCAATTGAGCCCCGCAAACACCCATAAATAACCATTTTCTGTGCTGAAACCCAAATGAGTCTTTACTAGATCTCTACTATTTGGACATTTTAATAGAGATCTCTGAGGGATACAAAAGATAAAATGGTCTTCATTATTAAGGCTTACATTCTGGATAGAAAAGGGAAATACATGCTTTCACACCTACAGAAAAATTATAATGATCATGCTTCACAAATGGATGATCATGATACATGGAAACTAAAGCACTATCTATGTTGACACAGATGTCCTCCTTTATTTGTATGCTTCTTACCTTTTTGTGTCATGAGATTAAATCAATAGTATGCAGGCACCTGACTGAAAACAGTGGCCAAATATGGTCATTAAAATATGGTCCCTTTTTTTTTTCATTACTAATATATTTTCCTTTCAGCCAACAGTATTCATTGAGCATTCAGTGATCACAAACTGAGATTATCCATAACCATAAGAAGAAAATGGCATCCTGGATCCACACCTTCCAAGAACTACTTGGTACTTTTTGTAAGGAAGTAGGAAGAACACAAATGTAATTACAACTTAGCACTACTAAACGAATTATATCTAACTTACAGACAACAGAAACATGAATTGAAGAATATTGGCTCTATTTTTAGCCCTAACATTATGTAGATACTCCACTATACAAGTTAAGGCACAGAAAACAGGTAATTTACAGATGAACAGAAACTGTCCAAGGACATGGAGATTTGAGACTTAAAACCAATAATTTAGGGGCGCCTGGGTGGCTCAGTCGGTTAAGTGGCTGCCTTCGGCTCAGGTCATGATCCCAGGGTCCTGGGATCGAGCCCCACATCGGGTTCCTTCCTCAGCAGTGAGTCTGTTTCTCCCTCTCCCTCTGCCTGCCGCTCCCCCTGCTTGTGCTCTCCCTCTATCAAATAAATAAATAAAATCTTTAAAAAAAAAAACCCGATAATTAAAAAAATCTTCATTAAAAAAAGAAAGATTCAAATTATGGAGTGTGGCTTTTAAAGTTCAAACAGAAGTTTTACAATTCACTAGTTTCTTACATATTTTTAATTTCTTTGCATTGTTCTTATGCTCATTTGCAAAACTGATCTGATTACATATAAGCTTTACAAATATTAAACCTACCATAAATATATACATTGAGATATATATGTACACATGTATAAAGAATGTGTGGGTGCATGTAAGTTTACACATATGTGGGGTCATCTGCAAATGTACACATCAGACTAATACCAACCTCTTCACCCAACAAAAGCAACTGAACAACCAATAAAGAAAAACAACAAGATTCAGCTATTAAAATACATCTTAAATCATTATACCTTTAGGGAGTGACAAATCACAAGAGTTAAATCAAGTATATCAATGTTTAATTTAAAACTTTTATTCTCAATGTCCTTAATGTGTATTCCTTTAATTTAATCAAAAGTGGGTTGTTGGCTTTTTTAAGTGGTTTTTAAAAATTTTAATACTTTCTCAAATCATGAAAAGGCGGGTCTTGTTAACTTATAGAAGGGGTTGTTAGCAAACTGTGACCCACAGGCCAAATCTGGTCTGTGTATTTTTTGTAAAGAAAGTTTTATGGGAACATAAGCCACGTTCATTTGCTGCTTTTGCACAATTACGGCACAGTTGAGTAGTTGCAACAGAAACTGTATAGTCCATGAAGCCTAAAATATTTACTATATGTCCATTTACAGAAGAAAATGCTTGTCAACCCCTGACCTACACCGACAAGAACTTCATGGCATCAAGATGAGGAAGCGGGGGTCGGGGGAGCACACACAGGTTGAGGTCCCCCTACAAACACACTGGTGCTGGTATCCCCCCATCCTTCCCCTGGGACCACCTGTGACATGATTTTAATTAATTTGTTCAGAAACTACAACTTCTTTCCATTTGCACAGCTATAGCATTCATTTGGATAATGCTCTTTGGACCCCTAATATGTCCTCCTCCCCAAATGCTTTCTCTTCTTCCTCCCTTTATAGAGCTCTTCCAAAACTGTTCTTTCTATTTGACCATGCTAGCAGTTACCTAACAATTCAAAGACTGTCCACTGAATCAAAATACCTAATTCTGGGAATTCATAATTTCAACTAATGTTTTTTCTTCCTTTTCAAGTATACGTTTTTTCCCCAACTGAATTTCCTTTTCACTGTCTTAATTGAGTATTAGTGTTAGGAGGCTACACTGCATGTTCTAGGATGAGAGCCAGTCCTCCACACCTCCTAACCCAAATATCTCTTCAAACATAGCATAGGCCAACTTAGCGTACAGGCTTTTTGTTTGTGGACACAGATAAAAAATACTGCTGTAGACTCAGGATTGAGCCTCCCACCCTCCATCACCAACTCTATCTCCGATTGCTAGTAATGCATTATTAAAATAGAATTTACTCAGGTGAGGAGAATCTATAGTTTATAAAGCTCCCAAGTAATTCTGATACACAGCCAGATTTAGAAATTATGGTTTTAAACAATATTTCAATTTATTAATAAACATGTTTTAAGGGAAAATATAAAAGTAAAAATCTGTCATACTATATAGATTATTTATGAACCAACCACTTTATTCAGCAAACATTTATTGAGCAAGTACCCCGTCCAGGCACTGCTCTAGGCACTAGGGATAAAGTAGTGAAGCAGAAAGACAAAGCCACAGCTGGCTGACAACCTCGTTGGAGCAGACGGACAACAAACAGATAAACTAAGTAACCTGCCCTGCACTCTCTGATAGCCCTCAGTACTCTGACAGCAGGCAGCAGTGCCAACACAGAGTGAGAGTGCTTTCTATTTTCTACAAGCAGGTGACAGCAAGCTTCTCTGATGAGGTGACATTTGAGCAGAAACCCGAAGCCAAAGAAGCCATGCATAAAGATAATAGCAACGACAACAAAACAGGAGTAGGGAAAGCAGCTTACCTTAACCTGTTAAATTATTTAAAAATCTACTGTCCGATCTATCATCTTCCCTTAAATTAAAGACAGAACAACAACAAAATAGAGGACAGGGGTGTATAGATACATTCCAATAAACTGGGGTGAATATTCTTTAGATTGTTTTAATCCAATGGTTTTAGATAACTGAAATAATTAGACAATGACTCTAAAGCTACTCTGATGTGTTTTTACAAATTGCACATATAAATCATAGGGATATCCACGAACATCACTACCCAGAGGAGTAGTGGTAATCCAACTAATAGAATGGTTTATATGTTTAAGGACTACAGAAAATATAAGAATTACTAATTTTTTAAATTATGAAATCCTAAAAATCTTAAGAGATGATTTTATGTAAATTCTTATAGGACATCTCTTCCATTTTTACAATATAAGAAGCTAATGTTAAAAAATTAGTTAACACTATACTGATGAGAGGTAATTGAGTACATCATTGATCATACCAAGTGATCTCTGCAATTGAGTAGCATTTTTTGGTAAATACCTATAATAGAAATATATATTTACATTGTTTACTATAAGAGAAATATTCACAGAAATGATTTTTTAATCCAGAAATCTGTTAACTAAGCACTACTAAAAATATTTTAATCAAAGAGTAGGTAAAATGATAAGCTGGCAAGAAGTGACCGTGAGTGTTGAACACGAAGTATAATTAGAATGACAACCAAAGAGCAAATGAAAGAGTAAGCAGTGATGTCAATACTTGACCTAGGTACAACAGCTTGCTTTGATGAAACCTTTGTCAATTCTAAGTATCATACAGCAGTATTTTATTAATTTCCCATTATATCCAGATGCCCAAAGAAACTTTTTTTTAGATCTCTTAGAAATATCCTTGCTGGGGCGGGGGTGGGGGGTGCCTGGGTGGCTCAGTCATTAAGCGTCTGTCTTCGGCTCAGGTCATGATCCCAGGGTCCTGGGATCGAGTCCCTCATCAGGCTCCCTGCTCAGCCGGCAGGGCAGTGGGGGGATCTGCTTCTCCCCCTCCCTCTGCTACTCCTCAGGCTGTGCCCTCTCTGTCAACTAAACAAAATCTTCAAAAAAAAAAAAAAAGATCCCTGCTGGGGGTGCCTGGGTGGCTCAGTTGGTTGTCTGACTCTTGATTTCGGCTCAGGTCATGATCTCAGGGTGGTGAGATCAAGCCCCGAGTCAGGCTCCATGCTCAGCCCGAAGACTGCTTGGAATTCTCTCTTTCCCTCTCCCTTTGCCCCTCCCTGCCGCTCACAGGAGACAGACAGATAGGTAGATAATTGCACATATATATTGTAGGGATATCCTACTTGAAAAAAACAAAAAATGTCTTGCTGAAACCATATAAACCATGGTGATAACATTCCACCTCCTGGCAATTTCTCAATTTACTGTACTATTGTGGCAGCTCACTCTAACTTACTCCATTGTCGACTGGATGAATAGCACAATTCTACAGACGGATCTTCTAAAGCCCCGTAGATAGCTTTACGACCACTCGAGGTGCTTTCAAAGTTCAGAGGAACTCTTGCTGCCTCCAGCTATGCATGCCTGAACCCCAAATTCTTTTCCACCACCCATGATATAAAGGTAAAAAGTGAAGAGAGGCCAAATGAATGATTTAAGCCTACTTAGCACAATTCTTGGGAATATTCTCCTTAGATCAAAAATTTTGAGTCACTTCAATTACCTTCTGAAGTAAGAGTCATGGTAGTTACTGTTAAACAGTAACCCCCTCTTTGTACTGTTCCAGGGGACTCTTGGAAAGAGGGTTGTAGGGAAGTCAAATCAGAGTCCTCCCCAATATTGCAAGGTGTCTTTATGTTAGTTTGTTGGGACCTCCAGAAAATTCCAGTGTGAACATGTTTATATGTTCACAGACCTAAACTAAGTGGCTTGAAATAGAGGTCCCTAGGAGATGGTATGTCATGATGGAAAAAATATAGGTATGGGATCCAGTCAGATCTGGGATTGAATCCTGTCTCAGCCTCTTGTTACTGTATGATTCTGGGCAAGTTAGTCTTTTTGAGACTCAGTTTCCCCAGATATGAAATAATACATACTTATTAAGGTAAGTGTAAAGATTAGAAATAATGTACTTAAGGCACTCAGCACAGAGCTTAGAATATAAGCTCTCAATAAATGCCATTATGAATAGTAAGATCCACACAGCAACATTCAGTGTATTCAAGTTATAACTGATCATATTTTCATGGATTTCAATTTCTTATAAAAGGATTAAGATTAATTGAGGCGCCTGGGTGGCTCAGTTGGTTAAGCGGCTGCCTTCGGCTCAGGTCATGATCCCAGGGTCCTGGGATCGAGCCCCACGTCGGGCTCCCTGCTTAGCAGGGAGCCTGCTTCTCTCCCTCTGCCTGATGCTCTGCCTACTTGTGTGCTCTATCTCTCTGTCAAATAAATAAATAAAATCTTAAAAAAAAAAAAAAAAGGATTAAGGTTAAAATAACTTCATTACAATAGTTTATTTTATTACCATCAAGTTCACAAAAGTGATCCTGTGAATCATCATATCTTGCCCAGTCAATGAAAGCTTCTTTGCTTTGATTACTAGGGGAAAGAGGGAATAAAAAAGAAAAATGATTAAATCTGGAGTTGAAAATGTTTACACTGTATCTTACATAATTAAAAACAGATAATCTGAGGTCACGTCTTTAATTTAGATAGTTTATAAATTCAATTAGTGGTTACATGAAGGAATAACAAATTATATGAAAAATACAGATATTAACTTCCACGAAGGATTTCTATTTAACTATACTAAAACCATTATTAGCCCTAGAGTTCAATAATTAACTAAAACTTGATTTACAAATATATAAGAGATGGAGTTAAACACAAAAGTCAACCTAGCCTTTTCAATTGACTTAGAAATAGCAGTAATCATTTTTTCTAAAATAAGAATTAAATTTACATTCATAATTCCTTTAACTTAAACTGCTTCTGTATTTATAGAACAAAAATACCAAAAACCGCATTTCTAGGATCTCCCTTCCTACGTGTTATTCACTGGTAACATCAATGTCACTTTAATCATGGCATATCATTCATTTTCCATACTACCTCACATTTAATAAAATCTATGATCAAGATTCCTACTTGGAGAACTGATAAAGGAACTACAGTAATTCAAATAAACTTTGACCTATATTCACTTTAACCTATATTCAGACCTTCTCTGTCTTAAATACATAACGGCAACATCTATAAGAGAACTATTCTTCTTCTTTATTTACCACACAATAGGAAAAAAATAAGGTAAAAAAAGTTATTTGTGTACCAAGTACAAATGATGTAGTTCCTAAATATGTTACTATCATAGCCAAGAATATATAAGGCTGGCTGCACTACACCAACTCTATCAATAAATGTTTCCAATTCATGGTGGGATTTTTTTTTCTCCTATGGGAATACTTAATTAACTTAATACAAGTTCATGGAAATACTTGTATCATAGTTGACTCAGCTGGAATACGGGATGCGATAAAACACGAATGCCTAAGTTCTAGTTACAGCTAAGATGATAGCTATAGTTATGTTTAATTAGCTAAGTCTTCTGTTTGAAAATAGTCAAGAACAAAGCAATTGTGACATAAATTCCTATTTTCTTGTTAACAATATGACTAACTTAGAGGAACTTTTATCTTTGAGCATCCTTATGTGATGATGCTTTCCTGATTGTTTCAAACTAAACCCTGCCTGAAAGCCATGGCAGCAGAAAAGATAGGAAAGGCTAATCTAATGCTAACAGAGCTGGCCCAGTCTGGCTTACAAATGAGTTAGAAGGAACGCAGTCCAGCTTTTCTAAAAGTCAGTTTGAAGATGGATGCCAAGCTACTTACATAACAATTTCCTGGGCTTCACCCAGGGCTTCCTGTCAAGATGGCGCTGAGTTAAAGTAGTAGCCTTAAAAGTGGGAAATGCGGGGGCAGGAAGGAACGGGGTAGAGTGATTTTCAAAGGGCATGAGAAAACTTTTCAGGGCGGTAAACAGGATAACTATCTTGATTAAGCTGATTTTCATGAGTGTACACTTGTCAAACCACCAAATGGCATACTTAAACAGGTACAGTATACTGCAGTTCAATTAAATGTCAATAAAGCTGTTTAAAAATTATAGTACCAATTGTTGGAGAAGTTGTGGAATGAGGAACTCTTGTACACTACTAGTGGCAATGTATTTGAGGAGTCATTTTGGGAAAACCACTTGGCAGTAGTACTTAATTCCACTTCTAGGTATATTCTACACAGAAAGGCATACCAAATGCACCACCAAATGTCCACCACAATATTTTTTTGAAATGGCTGCAAAGTGGTAAACTCCAACTATCAATGATAGGATGGAAACATTTTGGTGCAGTCTTAACTATGGAAACCAATGAAAAAAGAATTAAATGCTACTACTAAGTTCAAGAACATGAAGGACTCTCATGACATGATGTTTAATAAAATAAGCCAGACACAAACAAAATACGTTCCATATTATTTCATTTATATAAATAGGCAAAATTAATCTCTGCTACTGTTAATTCAAAATCACGGTTAACTGTGGACGGTGGTAATGACCAGGAAAGTACACACAGCAATCTTTGGGGCAGCAAGTACATTGTTCTGAATGGTTGCTGCAGAGTTGGGTTCACTTTGTAAAATTAAACTGACCTTTATGCTTAAGATTTGTATACTTTATTATATTTGTGTTATACTTGAATTTAAAAGTTGAAAAAATTACTTCTGTTCAACAAAATATTTATAAGCAAAATTAAAAGATAAGCCCTAACAACCCATATAGCCAACAAAGAATTATTATCAGATTATATGAAGAATGCCTACAAATGAATGATAATTTAAAAGTATACACTGTCCCACCTCCATACCCCACCGCACCCCCCATGGAGAAACAACAGCAAAGAACATAAACAGGTACTTTACCTTAAAATCCTACAATGACTTAAGGCCCAATCCCTGGATGACTTCTCTAGTTATACTCTTTCCTGGGTAATCCCATTCAGGTTTATGGTTTTTAAATACCATATATTCACACATGACTCCCACATTTTATCTCTCCCCTGAAATTGAGACTTGTGGATCCAACTACCTGCTCGACATCTCTAATTGGATGTCTTATAGGCAGCTCAAACGTAGCAAGTCCAAGGTTGAACTATAATTTTCTAACAAACTCGTTCCTCCTGCAAGTATCCCCAGTTCAGTAAATGGCAACTCCCATTTTTCTAGTTACAAATCTTGTAGTCATTTATAGTTCCTATCTTTTTTCATACCCCACATCAAATCCTTAAGCAAATCGTGTCAGCTCTATCCTCAAAATCTACCCAGAATCTGACCCCTTCTCATCATTTCTACTGCTATCCCTAAACTAAACCACCATCCTGTCTTATCTGGATTACAACAACCACATAGCAAGGCTTCCACAACATAACACCTGGCTCCCTCAAAGCATTCTCTCAAAATCCTCCAATGACTTTTCATTCCACTCAGTTTAATAGCAGTATTCCTAATTGTCTTCAAGATCTCCACCCCACCCTACCCCTGCCCCCATCCCTAGCATCTTCTGACTCGGTCTTCTACTACTTTGTCCTGGACCACTGTACTCCAGCCACACTGGTCTTCCTGTGATTCCTCAAATATAGGCACACTCCTGCCACAGGTTCTTTTTACTAACAATTATGCATGCCTAGGTACTCCTCCCCCAGGCAGGCATATTATGACTTACGACTTACGTCTTCATGGGCATTTTGTGCAAATGTCCCATTATCGCTGTGGCTTTCTCTCACCATCCAATTTACAACAGTGCAACTTCCCCGCCCCTACCCCCACCACTCCGAGCCCTCTGTCATTCTTCTCTGCTTTACTTCTCCCGGGCACTCATCATCACTTTACTTACTTCTTATGTATTTTACTTATTAACTGCATATCTCCAAAGAGGATTAAGCTTCATGAGAAAAAGAATTTGTCATGTACACCACTATATGCTTAATACTCTAGAACAGTGCTTGACATATTGCAGGCATTCATTCATTCATAAGAAACACAAATATTCAATGAACAGATTAAAAAAATGCTCAAACTCATTAGTAGTCAACAAAATATAAATTAAACAAAAATGAGATGCTATTTCATGTGCAAACATTATCAATTTTCGGCAAGGATGCGAAGAACCAAACAAGTTCTCAGCACTGGGGGCAGTACACAGCCACACAAGTGCTTTGGAAAGTCATCAGGCAGTATCAAGACTAGGTACACGTGGGCAATCCTAAGATTCAGCAATTTTACTAGTGCATGCCAAATTTCCTAGTGTACCAAAAAAATTATCAAGGGTGCTCAAGGCAGCGTAATTTGTAAAAGTAAAAAATCTGAATAATTCAAATGTCTATCAGTAGGGGAACAGATAAGTAAAACAGGAGATAGTCATATGATAAAAACCATTCATCAGTTGAAAGAATGAGACAAATCTCCATGTTTTAACATGGACAGATCTAGAAAGCAAAATGTACAGTGTAAAAATAAATTTGAAGAATGTTAAATACAGTATTATTTTATATAAGAGAAAAATAAAATCATATATAAAATAACCATCATTATATATATAATAAAAACAAAAGCATAGATGGATATACAGCAAATTCATGATAGTAGTTACTGCTCAGAAAGAAGGAAAGAAAATAGGATTGGGAATTAGGATGTAGGGGATTTCAAATTTATCTTTGATATTTCTCTTTTCTTAAAAAGATGGTAGAAAAAGTTAATTCTATTCACTTGGAGTGAATTTATTGTATTATTTTATTATATTATCTTCTCTAGTTTTCTATATTAAAATTTTTCTTCAATAAATAAGACTGATAACTTTATTAAGTCTTTAACAATTATAGTATCCAAATGCCAACCTAAACAAATAGTGAAGTTAAAAAGAATATCAGTAATAATCCATTCCCTACACCCAATTATAGATATGTTCAGTCATTTCATAATGCATGATCTGAGACCACTCACAAATTATGTTGGCCTTCAAAAGGAGGTTTTTACTTAGAGAAAATAAGGAAAAGTCATTAGAAAAAAAAACAAGAAACTTAATAATTATGGTAATCATAACTTTTCCCGTTCAAAATGTAATACACAGATTGAATTACTATTTTTTTTTTTCAGATTGAATTACTATTTAAAAAAGGCTTAGAGGTTCAAGTTCCTTTTACTATAATAACCTGGAAGAATGGATCCATAAGCCCTGCTAGTTGGGCAATCTTCTATACTTTTACATTACATTTACAATACATTTACAATGTACTGATGATACATTCTAGAAATTTAAGAACAAATCCACTAAGAGGAGGAAGCAAAGCAATCATGAAATTGAGGATGAGGAATAACTTCTTCCTTTTAAGAATGATTTGAAACTTTACTGTTTTATAAAATATCGCAAGAAAAACAGAAGATTTCTGACATAAATATACTAAATAAGAGAATATTTTTTATACTACTAAAATAAAACTTGCCTTAGTGTGCTGTTAATTGCTCCCAGTTTATTAGCTTGCTCACAATCTTCTAATTCTTTGGTATTGTTTGCTACTTTCGAGTACTGAAAGGAAGTACATAGTAAGTTTAGTAATAACTATTACCTTTCTCTTTATTTCAAGTTCCACTGGCAATCTGTCAACGATGACACAGATACATCCCATTATCAATATCTCTCACATATGTAAGAAATACAAATCAAAATGAGTCACAAATTCCCACCAACTAAATAAGACATTAAAAACAATTAGCACTGGTATGTTGGTGATGATGTAAACTGAGAAAACCCTCTTGGGAAAGTAATTTGACAATATTTATCTAGAGCTGTAAAAATGTATAAACCCTTGAACCAACAGTCTTACAACTGAAACCATATCCTGAGCAACAGTTAAAAACAAAACCACAAACGAAGTACAACCACTTTAGAAAGGTATTTGGTACTATCTCATCATGTTGAGATATGAGATAGGCATAACCAGTGGCACAGCAACCTTACTTCTAAATATCGATTTAGGAAAACTCTTACATGTGTACACAATAAGACAAAGGATGAAAATGCTGGTACATCACTGTTTGTAATAGCAAAAAACTCAAAACAATTGAAATGTCCATCAACAGAGGAAGAGCTAACCAATGACATACAACTGAATACTACACAACTATTAAAATTAACAAAGCTACATATATTAACAGAGACAAAATTTCAAAAGCATAATGCAGAGTAAAAAAATAACTGAAAAAATATTTTTAAAATAAAAAATATAATCTTAATGTTTTAAAACTTCGTATTAAAAGATCTATACATTACTTGTGGGTACACGTGCAATAGAAGTTAAAAGGAAGAAGTATCGCAAAAGGACGCACATCCATTTCACAAAAGTGGCTATCTCTGGGGAGGGAGGAAACAGAATGGGTTTGGGAAGGAGTCCAGAAGGGATGTCAAATGTCTCTAACACTTTATTTATTTTAGATCTGAAACAAAAATAAAGGAGAGTAAACACAAACAAAAGACCACACGGGAGAAAACACAAAAAGAAAATGGAGAGAGGAAGCAGAAGAGGGTATGATGATCTTTATTATGTGTACATGACAGTGAAAAACTAGAAGTAAACGGTTATCTAAAAACATGCACAGCTAAGTAAATTATGACATGCTTATAAGAAGAAAAGGGTAATTTTTAACACAGCAATATTTTAATGCCACTTAAAAGTACTATGCTCCAAATACCTTGATAACTGTTTGCTCTATAAAATATAATCCTGAATAGGACAGGTTGATTAGTTGGAACACAAGACTAAAAATACATGCATGATAAAACACCTGTTGCACAGGCCATCTGATACTGTAGTTATACTATACTACTATAGTTCTTCTAGAGAAAACAGAATTGAAATATCTCAAAAGAAGCTATATAATTTAACTATAAAAACATACAAGCTCTCTGCTTGCTGCAAGAATTAGAAAGTTGGGACTGTGGGGCAAAACGTGCCCACTCCCAACTAGCCCCAGTACAGTTCCCTTCTGCAACCATTGTCAAGCAGTAAATGGTAAGTTTCACAATGTAAAGAAAAAATATTCAAGGAAGAAAAGTGACTCACCTTATTAGAACTCCCAGCTTTAATTCCGACTGGAATTTTGCTCTTAAAAGAATAGCAACAAGAAAAATTTAGGAAGTTATCTTCCTTTTTTTTTTTGAGATTTCTTCACAAATTAGTAATGCCATTCCTCAAATACAAAGCCTATTTTAGTCTATGATGAAAAAATGAACATTCATTCAAATTCTGTTTTCATACTACCTCTTTTAAGATAAACGGTAAAGAATTACACCAATTTACGGACTTGTAAATCATAGTTTAGCAAACTGAACGACATATACAAAATAAGAGTGTCAAAACCAGCTACAATTTAAACTCATGCAGTATGGAATAGTTTACATAATTTTTAGGTTAAAAAAAAACTGACAAAAATCACTTTTCCATAAACTTTCTTACCACAGAAACAGAAGCTTTAAAAATTTTCAAAGTTCTTTGAAAAATTTTATGCTCAATCTTAATTTCAGCTCTAAATTGACATTTAAAGTGAAGGCAGTTTGGGATGAATACCAAAAGAATTAGTTCTTTGGTCCATAGGATTCACCTAGGGTTTACCAATCTAGGTAATCAGGGTTTACTAATAGAAAATCCACATGTAGATCCAGCTTTCTTTTCTACAAAGCCAATAATTAGTTTTAGGCTTTAATAAACAAATCTAGAAATCATTATAACTGGTTTTTCAGACACAATTTTAAACAAAAAATCATATCTGAAAGCAGAAAATCACAGGTTGATCCTCTGATCAATCTAGGGGACCGATTTCCAACATCTGAATCTACGGCATAGCAAATTACCTATTAAAATCTTTTCATGTTTCATGATAAATTTTAACATAGGTAAATTTAGCCAAATATTCAGAATAAATATCTTCCTGTCAGAATAATATGATAATAATGATGATAAGAGATATTTCCCTAATCAATAAAAAGATTAATAGATTAAAATGTTACTTGCTGCCAGTATTTTATTATTTCAGTGTTTGCTAGTACATCTAACAGAAGGCAGAAGAGAGAAGACTATAAAACTCAAGTCAAATCTAGCAGCCACGCACCCTGAATTTAAAACGTGGAATAAATACTAACCAAAAGTGACTTCTGGCTGCAGTGTGTCCTCTGACTAGTACAGTATGATGTGCTAAAATCAAAATCTTTAGCAGCTTTTTTGAAGGTTTGATGCTACTAAATGCAATGACTTGACTTCCGCGAATCTTAATAACAAGCCCTCCAGAAATACTGGGGTAGGCATCACAGATGATGGTCATGAACAACACACAACAATCACAAAAGAGAATTATTAGAAGTAATGATAACTGTAAAACTAATAACTAGAATCAAGCATGAAATAAACCTAGCTGGGACTGAGGCTGGGAAGATGGCAGGGTAGGAGGACCCTAGCTCACCTCATCCCAGGGATGCAACTAGATAACAGAAACATCAGCACAAATAATCCAGAAAACAGCCCAGAGTCTGGCAGAACAAACTCCACAACTAAAGGCAAAGAAGAGGCCACATCGAATTGGGTGGGAAGGGTAGAGATGCAGTGGGGAACGAAACAGGCCTTGGGTGTCCACAGTCAAGTGCTGGAGGCACAGAAAGGGTGAGAAATAGACTATCACACCTGCACGGGGAAGACCAATCCCCGTAACTTTTGACTTTGAACGCCAGAGGGTCCAAATTTCATGAGTTCCTACAACCAGTGGGACCTGAAGCCTGGAATCTGGAAAATCAGCAGCTCCACTCTGGGAGAGTCTGAAAGGCATTAGGAAGTGGAGTTCCTGCCCTTAAAAAAGACAGCATGCAAACAGCCCAGGTAGCTACAGCACAGAAGCTGCAATTTGAAAAACGCCTAGGGCATATGGGAGGGAGATTTACTTACAAATCTCAGAGCATGTTCAGAGAGGCAGGGATCACAGGGAGAGACCCTTCCAGGAACAAAGGAGGAGGCAGGCACCATTTCCCTCACCCCCTACCCCTAACCCAGCATAAAACATAGGCACCTGCAGGAACCAGCACTATGCAACACCCCCTACCTAAATTGCTTACACTGCGCCCTACCCACCTTGGGCAGATCCCCTTTTCAACACATTTGCTTCAGTTCTGGCTGCGGATCCCCTCCCACAGAAGACCACCAGTGTAAACATCGCCAATGCAGCTTCTCCCGACCCACACGTTGCAGGGCCTTAGTCCAGGAGCTGTGGGCCCTGCACAGGCACACCCTGTTAAAACTGGTCCCCCACCCACACAGCCTCCCAACCACCAGTGCAGGCAACAGGTATCGTTTCACAAACAGACCAGCACACCTTGTTAAAATGTGCCGCACCCTAGCAGGGGACCAAACACAGCCCAGAACAGGCTAAGAGAGCCTCTGCAGACAACTAGACTAAAGGAAAAAGTGGCCAGGACACAATAGCAGAGCATATGCAACACACATAGGAGACACTCCCTGAAGTGCCAGGTCCTGGAGAACAGGGGGCAACTGCACTGCGGGGCACTACAGGACCTCTTCTTCATAAGGCCATGACCTTCAAGAGGATGCATAGATGGGGCGCCTGGGTGGCTCAGTTGGTTAAGCGACTGCCTTCGGCTCAGGTCATGATCCTGGGGTCCCTGGATCGAGTCTCGCATCGGGCTCCCTGCTCGGCAGGGAGTCTGCTTCTCCCTCTGACCTCCCCCCCCCGTCATGTGCTCTCTCTCTCTCTCATTCTCTCTCTCTCAAATAAATAAATAAAATCTTAAAAAAAAAAAGAGGACGCATAGCTGACTTTGCTAACACACAGAAACAGATATAGAGAATTAGACAAAATGAGATGAGGAATATGTCCCAAATGAAAGAACAGGACAAAACCACAGCAAGAAAGCTGGTGCAGCCACTCTGGAAAACAGTACAGAGGTTCCTCACAAAGTTGAAAATAGAGCTACCCTACAACTCAGCAGTTGCACTGCTGGGTATTTACCCCCAAGATAACAAATGTAGTGATCCGAAGAGGCACATACACCCCACTGTTTTTGGCTATTGTGGACATTGCCAAACTATGGAAAGAGCCTAGATGTCCATCAACAGATGAATGGATAAAGATGATGTGGTATATATACATACAATGGATTACGCAGCCATCAAAAAAAAGAAATCTTGCCATTTGCAACTACATGGATGGAACTAGAGGGTATTATGCTAAGCGAAATAAGTCAATCAGAGAAAGACAAGTATCATATGATCTCACTGATATGAAGAATTTGAGAAAAAAGACAAAGGAGCACAGGGGAAGGGAGGGAAAAATGAAACAAGATGAAACCAGAGAGGGAGATAAACCATAAGAGACTCTTAATCTCAGGAAAGTAACTGAGGATTGCTGGAGTGGAGGGAGGTGGGAAGGATGGGGTGGCTGGGTGAGGGACATCGGGGAGGGTATGTGCTATGGTGAGCGCTATGAATTGCATAAGACTGATGAATCACAGACCTGTACCCCTGAAACAAGTAATACATTATATGTTAATTAAAAAAAAATTACAGCAAGAGACCAAAGTGAAATGGATATAAGTAGTATGACTGATAGAAAATTTAAAGTAATGATCATAAACATACTCACTGGACTTGAGAAAAGAGTGGAGGACATCAGTGAGACCCTTAACACAGAAATAAAAAAGAACACATCAGAGATGAAGAACACAATAATGAAAATAAAAATACATTAAATGGAATAAATAGTAGGCTAGAGGAAACAGGCAAATGAATTAACAACCTGGAAGACAGAGTAATGGAAAGTAATCAAGCTGAGCATGTGAGAGAAAAAAAATTATACAAAATGAGAATAGACTTAGGGAACTCAGTGACTCCATTAAGTGTAATGACATTCAAATTATAGGGATCCTAGAAGAAGAAGAAAAAGAAAAGAGAAATTTTATTTGAAAAAATAATAGCTAAAAACTTCCTGAATCGGGGAAGGAAACAGATACTGAGATCCAGGAGGGACAGAGATCCCCCGACAAAAATCAACCCAAGGTGATCCATACCAAGACACATAGTAATTAAAATGGCAAAAAGTAGTGATTAAGAAAAAATTTTTAAAGCAGCAAAAGAAAACCGTTACATACAAGGGGAAACTGCATAAATCTATCGGCTGATTTTTTTTTTTAGCAGAAGCTTTGTAGGCCAGAAGAGAGTGGCTGAAAAGAAAGTGCTAAAAAGAAAAATCTGCAGCCAAGAATACTCTATCCAGCAAGGCTGTCATTCAGAATAGAAGGAAAGATAAAGAGTTTCCCAGACAAAAACTAAAGGAGTTTATGACTACTACCACCAGTCATACAACAAATGTTAAAAGGGACTCTTTGGAAAGAAAAAACCGGAAGTAAGAGTATGAAAAGTAGGAAACATAAAAGCAGTAAAAATAAGTATATCTGTAAATATCAGTCAAGAGATTCACAAAGAATACAAAATATGACACCATACACCTAAACTGTTGGGCAGAAAGGAATAAAGAATGGGTTCAAACTTAAGCAACCATCAACTTAACATAGACTGCTATATGCAGAAGATGTTATATACAAACCTAATGGTAACCACAAATCAAAACCAGCAATAGTTATGAAAAGAACAAAGAAAAAGGAATCCAAGTATATCACTAAAGAAAGCCAAAACACCATGAAAAAGAGCAAGAGAAGGATCAGAGAAAAACTACAAAACAATCTCAAAGCAAGTAACAACTTGGTAATAAATTTGTATCTATCAGTAACTACTTTGAATGTAAATGGACTAGATGCTCTAATCCAAAGACATAGGGTGGATGTCTCTGGATTACATAGAGTGGATAAAAAAACAAGATCCATCTATAATGCTGCCTAAAAGAGACTCATTTCGAACCTAAAAACAACTGTAGATTGAAAGTAAGAGGATGAAGAAAGATTTGTCATGCAAATGGATGTCAAAAGAAAGCCAGAGTAGCAATACTTATAACAAACAAAATAGACTTTAAAACAAAGACTGTAACAAGAGACAAAGAAGAACACTATACAATAATGAAGGGGAGAATCCAACAAGATAATAACAATTATAAATATTTATGCACACAACACGGGAGCACCCAAATACACAAAACAGTTAACAAACATAAAAAAACTAATCAATAGGAATACAATAACAATAGGGGACTGTAACACCCCTCTTACATCAATGGACAGATTGTCCAAACAGAAAATCAACAGGGAAACAATGGCTTTAGGGGTGCCTGGGTGGCTCAGTCGTTAAGCGAGGCAAAAATACAATCTGCCTTCAGCTCAGGTCATGATCCCAGGGCCCTAGGATCGAGCCCCACATCGGGGTCCCTGCTCAGTGGGAAGGCTGCTTATCCCTCTCCCACTCCCCCCTGCTTGTGTTCCCTCTCTCGCTGTGTCTCTGTCAAATGAATAAATAAAATCTTAAAAAAAAAAAAGGAAGAAAGAAACAATGGCTTTGAATGACACACCAGACCAGATGGATTTAAAAGATACTTTCAGAACATTCCATCCTAAAACAGCAGATACATATTCTTTGCAAGGGCACACAGAACATTCTCCAGAACAGATCACATATTAGCCCAGAAAACAAGCCTCAACAAAGTGAAGAAGATCGAAGTCATACCATACATCTTTTATGACCACAACACTATGAAACTAGAAGTCAACCACAAGAAAAAATCTGGAAAGAGCACAAATTCACAGAGGTTAAATAACATGCTACTAAACACTGAATGAGTCATCCAAGACATCAAAGAAGAAGTAAAAAATTACATGGAAAGAAATGAAAATGAAAACACAATGGTCCAAAATCTTGAGAATGCAGCAAAAGTAGTTCTAAGAGGGAAGTTTAGAGCAATACAGGCCTACCTCAAGAAGCAGGAAAAAATCTCAAACAACCTAAATTTACACATAAAGGAGATGCAAAAAGAATAGCAAAACCCAAAACCAGCAGCAGGAAGGAAATAATAAAGATTAGAGCACAAATAAATGATACAGAAAAATTTTAAAAACAAAATAGAAGAGATCTATGAAATCAGGAGCTAGTTCCTAGAAAAGATCAACAAAATTGATAAACCTCTAGCCAGGCTCATTTAAAAAAAGGGAGAGAGAGAGAAAGAGAGAGGACCCAAACAAAATTGCAAATGAAAGAGAGTAACAACAGACACCACAAAAATACAAGCAACTGTAGGAGAATATTATGAAAAATTATATACCAAAAAACTGGACAACCTAGAAGAAATGGACAAATTCCTGGATACATAGAATATACCAAAAGAGCAACAGGAAGAAAGAAAATTTGAACAGACTGATAACCAGCAATGAAATTGAATCAGTAATAAAAAAATTCCCAACAAACAGAACTCCAGGACCAGACGGCTTCATAGGCAAATTCTACCAAACATTCCAAAAAGAGTTAATACCTATTCTTCTCAAACTATTAAAAAAAAAAAAATAGAAGAGAAAGGAAAATTTCCAAATTCATTCTCTGTGGCCAGCATTATCCTGATACTGAAACCAGATAAAGACACCACTAAAAAACAGAACTACCAAAAAAAATAAGATTTTTTTAATTAAAAAAACACAAACAAGTACAGACCAATACCTTTGATGAACATAGATGCAAAAATCCTCTACAAAATACTAGCAAACCAAGTCCAACAATCCATTAAAAAAAAATCATTCACCATGATCAAGTGGGCTTTATTCCCGGTTGCAAAGGTGGTTCAGTATTTGCAAATCAATCAGTGTGATACATCATATCAGTAAGAGAAAGGAAAAGAACCTTAGGATCATTTCAACAGATGCAGAAAAAGCATTTGATAAAATACAGCATCCATGCATGATTAATAACCCTCAACATAGGTTTACAGGAAACTTACCTCAACTATAATAAAGGCCTTAGACAGAAAACCCATAGCTAATATTATACTCAATGGGGAAAAACTGAGAGCTTTTCCCCTAGGGTCAGGAAAAGGACAAGGATATCTATCTATTCTCACCATTTTTATTCAACATAGTACTAGATGTCCTAGCCACAGAAATCGGACAACAAAAAGGAGTAAAAGGCAACCAGATTGGTAAGGAAGAAGTCAAACTTTCACTATTTGCAGATGACATGATATTCTATGTAGAAAACCCTAAAGACTCCACCAAAAAACTACTAGACCTGAAAAATGAATTCAGTAAAGTTCAGGACATAAAATCAATGTACAAAAATCTGTTACATTTCTATACACTAATAAGGAAGCAGGGGAAAGAGAAATTAAGAAAACAATCCCACTTACAACTGCACCAAAAATAATAAAACAGCTACAAGTAAACTTAGCAAAGAGGTGAAAGACCTGATTGTGAAAACTATAAAACACTGATGAAAGAAGCTGAAGATGACACAAAGAAATGGAAAGACATTCCATGCTCATGGATTCGAGAACAAATATTGTTAAAATGTCTATACTACCCAAAGCCAAGTTACACATTTAATGCAATCCCTATCAAAATATTAAGTTTTCATAGAACTAGAAAAAACACATCCTAAAATTTGTATAGAACCACAAAAGACCCCAAATAGCCAAAGCAATCTTGAAAAAGAAAATCAAAACTGGAGGGAACACGATTCCAGATTTCAAATTATATTACAAATCTGTAGTAATCAAAACGGTATGGTACTGGCACAAAAACAGACACACAGATCAACAGAACAGAATACAGAGCACAGAAATAAACCCATGATGCTATTGTCAATTAATCTTGGACAAAGAAGGCAAGAATATTTAATGGGAAAAAGACAGTCTCCTCAACAAAGGGTAACTGCATGGCTACATGCAAAAGAATGAAACTGGACTTCTTGCACTGTACACAAAAACTCAAAATGGGTTAGGGACCTAAATGTGAGACCTAACACCATAAAATTCCTAGAAGAGAGCACAGGCAGTAATTTCTCTGACACTGACCATAGCAATATCTTTCTAGGTAAGTCTCCTGAGGCAAGTAAAACAACAGCAAAAATAAACTAGTGAGATTACACTAAAATAAAAAGCTTCTGCACAGCAAAGGAAACAACCAATAAAACTAAAAGACAACCTACTAATTGGGAGAAGATATTTGCAAATGACACATCCAATTAAGGGTTACTATCCAAATTATATAAAGAACTGATACAACTCAACACCAAAATATCCCAAATAATCCAATTAAAAAATGGGCAGAAGACATGAACAGACATTTCTCCAAAGACATCCAGATGGCCAACAGACACATGAAAAGATGCTCAACATCACTCATTATCAGGGAAATGCAAATCAAAGACACAATGAGCTATCACCTCACATCTGTTAGAATGACTAAACACAAAAACTCAAGAAACAAGTGTTGGCGAGGATGTGGAGAAAAAAGAACACTCGTGCACTGTTGGTGGGAATGCAAACTGGTGCAGCCACTGTGGAAGACAGCATGCAGATTCCTTGAAAAATTAAAAATAGAACTACCCTATGATGCAGCAATTGCACTACTAAGTACTTACCCAAAGAATACAAAAACACTAATTCGAAGGGATATAGGCACCCCTATGTTTATAGCATCATTATTTACAATAGACAAACCACGAAGCCCCCCAAGCATCCATCAATAGATGAATGGATACAGAAGATGTGGTATATACACATACAATGTAATGTTATTCAGCCATAAAAAAAGAATGAAGTCCTGCCATTTGCAAAAACATGGATGGATCTAGAGAGTATAATGCTTAGGGAAATAAGCCAGTCAGAGAAAGATAATTACCATACGATTTCACTCATATGTGGAATTTAAGGAGCAAAACAAACAAAAGAACAAAAAAGAGAGAGACAAACCAAAGAACAAACTCTTAACTATACAGAACAAACAGATGGTTACCAGAAGGGAGGTGGGAGGGGGCAATGGCTGAAACAGGCAAAGTGGATTAAGAGTACACTTATCTTGATGAGCACTGAGTAATATATGGAACTACTGAATCACTATTTTGTACACATGAAATGAATATAACACTATATTTTAACACTTTTTTTTAGCTATCTAGCACATTATTAAGTCATTTAGCAATGTATGACTAAGGTCTATAAGTCAGACATTAGTATTATAATTAATGTTAATTTCCTGATTTTGTTAATTATGTTGTGGTTAGATAAGAGAATAATCTTGTTTTTAAGGAAACACACTCAAGTAATTAGGGGTAAAGTATCACCATGTTAGTAACTTATACCCAAATAATTCAGAAAATATTAACATGTATATATACAGAGAATAATAAAGCAAACATGATAAACATTTAGGGAATCTGAACAAAAATAAGTGAGGACTGTTGGTATTATTCTCCCAATTTTTCTGTAGGTCTGAAATTATTTCAAACTAAAAAGTTAAAAAAAAAACCATTTTATTCTTAAAGGAAAATGAAGAGAATTTTTTTAATTGTCCCTTTAAAAAGGGCATTGGTTAAGATGGTTTTTTCCCATTTTTAAGAATAACTAGATTAACTGATTAGGTAAGAAAAGCAAAAAGTGAAATGAAAACAGAGCTTATAATGAATTACTGTTTAAGAAGAATTAATTATGCTAGATGTCAAAAAACAAAGTCTAAAATGTTAAGTATAGCTTTTTTTTTTAATGTAACAAGACCAAGTGAAATTCCTCTACTTTTCCCACTTCTAATTCCCACTCTAAATGTAAAATTTAAGGCCCAGTAACATCACTTTTCTTATGAAACAAGATGCATATTCAATAAAGCATGAAATAAGAGTTAGCCAATTGTAGATCCAGTCCTAGAACAGGCCCCCAATTTTCCATTTGTCTTAGAATCATACTATACTTCCACAACCAATCAATACTACTGGATACAAGAGTGTCTTCAAACCCATTTTGGTGATGAGTATAAAATAAATCTTCAGTAATCTGGTTAAAAAGAGAGCTGACAGCATATGAATTTGAGGACAAGTCTAAATCCATCAACAGTGGCCTAAAATACAAATTTACACTTATCTAAGAGCCCAAGAGGAAACAATGTTTTCCCTATTACTATTTTTTTAAATTTATTTTACCTCTGGACAGGGCTCCACATGGCAGTCTTTTATTGAACAATGGCCATCTTCTGCCCAGAAAGGACATGGTCTCTTCAGATTGACCTTGAGAGAAAGATTGGTTAACATTAGTACGTGTGTGGCACGGTTCTGCAATGCTCTCTAGGTGTCCCTGTGCGGGGCACCAGGGACGTGGTGGTAGGAAGAAGAAAAAGCTTCCTATCCTGTGGCATCTATAGAGTTCAGAATTTTAAACAACTGCAGTTTTTCTGACATCCAGATGTAATATTAATTTAAAAAAAATAAGTTATTAGTCCTCGGACACTCCAAAAAAGGAATAAAGTCCAAGTACACTGCTCATCTGCAGACCCTGGAAAGCATTCTACTTTAATGTCTGTCAGCACCTTACTGTTACCTTACTTATTAGGGTTCTCTCGAGCATCCACCCACTTCAATGTGTACTGAGCACCCACTATCTGTCTGGCATTGTGTAGGGTCTAGGACAAAAAGAGATGTAAAAAAGCACTTCCCCCCCCCCCCCCTGGAACTTACAGCCTACAGGAGGGAATAGAAATCACACGTTTGTATGTTTGTTCAACTACAAATCGTGGTAAGTGCTACAAAGGAACATCCAGAGTTTGTGATGGAAAATAATGGGGGGGCTGGTGGATGGTGGCCTCTGAGGAGGTAATATTTTAGGACAGATGAATGTTAGGAAAAACATGGGTTTGGATAAAGTGATACAGCTTGAACAGTTGTGAGAACTGAGAAAAAAAAAAAAACCAAACCAGTTTAGCCGCCTTTTAGCGGGGGGATGAGGGTAGATGTAGGACAGGGGCAGACCATTTTCACCATCAGGACATTTTAACCATAGTTAAAAACTCTGGATTGTCTTACATTGAACTTAGCGGAAGCCCAAACTCCTTTTCTATCTCCTGCAAGCAATTCGTTATCCACGTCTTCCCACCACCTCCACTGCCACCGCTTCCCTTCTCGCCTAGACCCCTCCAGGTGCCCTGCTTCTACTACCATCTGTCGTCCACACAGCAGGCACCGAGCTCTCCCTTCTGTCTTGAGGCCTTTACAGCAGCCTTCTCTTTGACCGTACTGTCGCACATCTTATGAGCCGCTCCCTTCACCTGATCCAGGACCTTCCCTGACCAGACTCGCCAAAGTAGCACCCAATAGGCACCCCACACCCTGTTTTATATGCTTTTTATAGCACTTGCCACTGCCTGAATATTCCTGACTTGTTTATTGTCTACATCCCCCACTGTCAGGATTGAGATGTTGCCTTATTCATTATTTTATCCCCAGTGCCTCGGACACATAATAGGCATCTCAACAGGGACACCTGAGTGGTTCAGTCGGTTAAGTGTCTGACTCTTGATTTTGGCGCAGGTCATGATCTCAGCACCGTGAGACTGAGCCCCACTTTGGGCTCTGCACTGGGCATGGAAGCTACTTGGGATTCTCTCTCTCACTCTCTCTCTCTGCCCCTCCCTCTCTGACACATGCACACGAACACTTGCTCTAAAAAAAAAAAAATAGACATCTCAACAAATAGAATAAAATGAAGTAAATAACACCTATATTACCGAGGAAGAGGCAACAATACATAGAGACTGGCAACAGGAGAGAGAGTGACCAACTCTGACTATGGAGTTGTCAGGGAATGCCTCCTTTTGGTAACATGTAAAATGGGTACGGCTAGAAGTTTCCTGGAGAAGATTTCCAGGCAATGGGATGTTTGTTTGGGAACTGCAGGTTCCTTGAGCTCCTGGCTTGTATGTCCAATGCCTCGCTGATATCTCCACAGGACATTCTTTTTTTTTTTTTTTTTT